TCCAGTCTTCGCACTGAGAGCGTGCAATCCATAGCCGTCATTCAGAGTATTCCACGTGGCGACTACATCTCCCTGAGGAGAAAATACGCAATGGGGATGTCTCCAGTTGCAACCGCCTTGGTAAATGTCGTCTTTACTCCAGATGGGAACATTTGCCTCACCTCTGTAAAAGAACATTTCGCGCTTTCTTGCGTCGTTTTCAGCACAGAACACCACATCTCTTTGAAGACTGCACGCAATCGATTTCAGTTCTGGTTTACCACTCAAGTTTCTTTCAAATACAACTTTCCACGCGGAGACATCAAACAAGGCAACTGTAAGTTCATGTTGTCCTTCGGATGAAAATTTAGGCGTGCATAGAACGCATCCAACAAGATCTTGCGATACAGGAATCAGTCTTTCGATTTCGCCCATCATGGTGATAGAGTTTAGACCTTGAGACAAGTCAATGTTCCATACCTCTAATGTCTTGCTGTCTGTTTGCAAGAGAACACCTGTCTCACCATTGTATGTGACAGTTACAGTCAGGATCCCATTCTCGACACGACGTGAATTGTGCTGGAAGTACTTTTCCTGCTTCACTTCCCTTGCATTGTTTGCGTCCCGCATAGTAAATGTCACCGAGCGTGACTTATCTGTTTTCATTCCTTCCGCATGGTTGCAAATGGCGATAGTTGTGTACAAGCGCGTGCTATCGTTGACGGTAGAAAACGCAGCTTGTGCCGTCCGTGGCATCTCTTCGTCTTTTAGGTGACGAGTAATATCAAGCATCGTCAAGTAATTAACCGTTGGACTCCCGACCACTGCCAAATCTCTTAGTAACGTGAGGCAAAATCCAATTTGCAAGTCTGCAGAAACGAAATGGGATGTCTTGCAAACGGCTTTCAATGCATCAACAGAATCAACCGATTCCCACGGCCACAGAAAGACACAAGATGATTGTGACTGAAGCGCTGGCACCGAAAGTTTGTACTTGTCTCGGTGATCGGACAGCTCATGTTGGATACTGCCACAGACAAGAGCTCCCACTTCTGTAAAATGTAACAGTCCACAGGGGTTACCTTTCTCAGAAACGTTTAGAGGTGCTTTCTTCCAACTGGGATCTTCAACAGCTTGTAACCAGAGTGAGCCACTTGTATGGCAGATTGCGACAAGATTTCCATCTTGAGAAATAGCAAAAGAAGCTATGGTTTCTTTGCTCTCGAAGCGTTTGATCTCCTCACCATTCTTGGTGTTCCACATGACCACTAGATGGGCGTTTTCTGGACAATCAGTTAACATTCTAGTTTTGTTTCCTGAGAAATAGCAAACATTGAAATGACATTTGCTCCCTGGAAAGAGTGACTTCGTCTTTCCATCTAAGCTGTAAACTTTGACCAAGTTTCCTGGCAAAATGGAACAACCGTCTGGATGGAAGACAGTGGAACGGTAAAACGACAGCGTCTTTTTCCCAGTCTCATTATCTTCGCACGTCTGTCGAAAAGCACTTCCAAATGGAACTTCTTTGTACGACTTTCTCGATTTTAATAAAGCTTTTTCCCACAGCCGCTTTCCAGTCTCAAGGGACCATAACGACGTCGTTCCATCACGACATTCGCTTACCAAGAGTTGTTCGTCTGGGGAAACATCAAAGCAAACCACTTTGTCAGAGCAAAAAAATCGACCAACAACAGGGCCTTGATGACCATTTTTGTCTAACAGCTCCATATATGGTATTTCTGGATGAGACCTCAAAAGAGTATCATACACCTGTTGATAAAGTGCTGATCCTCCTTCATTGAGTAGGTTTTGGAAAATCATCCCAGGATTATCTCGAAGCAGCTTAGGGTTTTTCTTGAATTGTAGTAGAAGGCTTTCAATTGTATTGTGGATTTCTTCGCTTAATGCCCTTGAATCCGGATGTTCTTGCACAAGAATAAGATCCTTAAGCACATCCGTGTCCTCTGTACGTAGCTTGGCATAAACGAGTTCGAGATCTGTCACGTACCCTTGAACTAATTCTTCCATTTGAGCGCTTTCAGTCTCACATGCTTCCAGCATGTGCTTGACACCGTGTCGCAAGGCGTATTTCTTCTTTGCTTGAGTCGGCGGTCCACGACATCCCTTCAAAATTTCAAGTGCTTTAGCGCACAACTTAGACAGAATCTTGTGACCTTTCTTCTCCTCTACGAAGAAAAATCCATTGGACGGGTCTGTCAACCAATCCTTGATGGATTTGTGGAACATGTGAACATGGTCCTCTCGAAGAGTGAAAAGAGAAGAAATACAGTCAATAACACCCTCAAGTTTTCGCTGATCGCTCAAGGGATCACTTTCTGAAATGTTGCCGTTTTGCAGCAGTATATCCACGATGAAATCTTTGTGCAAAGGTTCTACAGAAACAGTCAAAGCACTCAGAAAATCAGTTAAAAAACTGCCATAGTTGTCCTTCAATTCTTCCTTCAGTCTTTTCTCCATTCGCTCAAAATAGGACTGGTAAACTGAGGAAATGCCATGTGGGAATTGTCGACGAAGTTCCTCTGGACTTACTGGTAATGTGCCGTCTTGGATTATTCGTATTAAAAAGTATCCGAAGAGCATCGAGCCATCCGAGAGATGGACCAACTCTTGTACAATTGCGCTGAAGATGTCTGGGTTTGTTACATCAGAATTCAGTTTCTTTTCAAAGAAAGTTTTGATATCATCACGATTCTGCTCATCTTCTTGTTGTAACTTGAAAATCTTCAGATTTCTTAGCTTGTCTGAGATGTTTTTCTCTGGTCTT